CCCCCCCCTTGTCTGAAGACTCTGATCGAAGAAAGAAGAGATTGAGATTTAAAGAACGACACGATGGATTTTCTATGGGAAGAAGATGGAAGTTTCTGCTGTTCTTCAGATGGGGAATTCAACGTTCCAAAAGACCTGCAGCAGCAGCTGAGGTCAGGACAAGACAGAACCCCAGAAGACAAACAGAATCCAAGAAATGAATTGTCGGGACGACAATTGATAGAGAGGGGGGCAGTGTTGCGAGTGCGTCGCATCTGATGTCCGCGGGTTGCGAGGCAATATCTTTGACAACGGTTGCTAAGAGTGTGTTTCGGCTGTTTGATTATAACAGCCGTGGGAGAGAGTCTCTCGACAGCTTGCAAACTGTCTGGATGTGCATTTCGAATTGAGAGTCTTATATCGCGCTGTTATTACTTAATAATAAAGTTCCTCTTCGTTTTGTATTCAAGTGTCTTATTCCTTTCCGCGTCCGCGAGTGTAACAATATTCTTAAAAACAATATACGACTTGATCCAACACTAAAACAAATTTGTAAAATTAAATTAGAGTCGATTATGTGAAGCGACTTTCGAGAGCGCAGAGCCAGCTCTCAACGCTCAAGCTGTTCACAAGGCTATTAAACCGATCTATACGAATTTAAGCAGTGATTATTTACCTTGGCGAAAATAGAAATTGGAGAGTAAATAAAGTGTAAACAAAGAGTAACGGAAGTGTAAGTAAAGTGCTTACAAAACGTAAATTGAAACTTCGGAACGTAAAGCAACCCAAGTAGGAATCGTATACGCCAGTATATCGTTTCGTCAGTACGGAAAAATGGCCGATACTGGATCGATACCGAAAAGCGGATGTCTGGTTTTGGTACTGGCTCAGTACTGGGCCTAATATAAAAAAGCTGTTTTGTTGATACTGGCTCCGTACTAAGGTTAGGTAGTGGATAGTCACACCGTACGTATATTAGGGTGTTACCGAAAAGTATTTGTCGTTTTCAGTACTGGCCCAGTATTAAAAAAGCTGTATTATTGGTACTGGCTCTGTTCGTAGAATCAGTACTGGATACTCATGTAAAAATCGTATACAATCTGCCAAAATATTGGACTAGTATTGTGCCGGTATCGAAAACCAGGACGGTACCAATGTCCTTTACGGGAAAACGGAAAAAGTCACTAACGCGATAGCTAAGTGGTAAGGGTGCCGTCCCATTGAGCACGGATCGGAACGCCGGATCGGATTTCTTACTATAATGAGCGTTCCGTTCTCTAGTTCCGTTCCGTAAAAGTTTCCTCTACCAGTCCCATGTAGCAAAAACGGAACGGATTTCTAGTTATAAAATATATTTCACTCTTCAATTAAATATTTCAGAATATTCATGACAATGTTATCGGCAAGATAATTGCATAAATTATGTATATAATTAATTCTGTCGCGTCAAAATAACGAAATATTGACGAATTAATCATATTTATTTGCGACCGACGCGCCATTCCGTTCCGTTTTTGCTACATGGGACTGGTAGAGGAAACTTTTACGGAACGGAACGCTCATTATAGTAAGAAATTCGATCCGGCGTTCCGATCCGTGCTCAATGGGACGGCACCCTAAGAACGCTTGCCTAACAAGCGGAAGACTCGAGTTCAATTCCAGTCGTCGTCCCGGAGATTTTTTCTCATATGATTATTAAAAATAGACCTACATAGGTACGAGAGGAGATCGCGGCCATGGTCTGATCTTTCTTTCCGTACTATATTGTGATATTAACAATTGTACAAATAATAAAAATTAGGAATCGATACTGGCCTAGTACTGGGAATAGGTACTTCCCCAGTGCTAGGAATCAATATTTTTTTTATACTGGTACAGTACTGATTTTTGGTACTATGACAATACTGTTTTCCGACATTGGCTATTTCCTATCATCCCAGTAGCATACCAATAAACCCGTACTGGCATCTGGTACTATGCCAGTAACGTTTACCATAAATCGATACTGGGCCACTTTGATGCCAGTAGTAAATTCCTACTTAGAAAGTACGTTTGGGGTACGCTTGCTTTACGTTCCGATGTTTCAATTTACGCTTTGTAAGCGCTTCTTTGTAAGCGCGGAACTTATACTTCCGTCTTCGTTTACATTTTATTTATTCTCCAATTTCTATTTTCGCTAGGATATTAACCCGTTGCTTGAGTGAATATATCCAAAATAATAACGAGTGCTTTAATTCACAAGGAACCCCACGTAAGTGATTACTTCCAATTTGCACTGAAAAAAAACTTATTTAATTTAAATAAATATATTTATTCAAATATGTTTTACTTACAATAAGAGATTAGATATTGTAAAAATGAGTAAAATATTTATTTAAGGTTAATTGTTTCAAAACAACTTTATAATCTATTAAATAATAATAACCTCTTTATAACTTAATAACCTAGATCATTATTATTAAATGAATTATACAATTGTTTTGAAACAATTAATCTTAAATAAATATTTTACTCTTTTTTATCCAAAAATTGTAATTCAGAAAATATTTTCTTTAATTTGAATAAACGATATCAACAGAATTCGATATTTTCAGACAAACATTTTTTCAATTTGAATAAAACAATTTTTAAAAAATAGTGTATTATTATTGAGTAAAATAATTAATTGGTTTAAAAAAATATTAATTTAAAGTTATTTCCTCAATTTGAAAATATTATATTTATATTATATTATAATAAATATTATATTATATTTTTCAGTTGTAAAGAATAAGTTATTCAATTTGAGCAACGGTTGTCTCAATAGCATTTATTCGTTATTTGTTTCAAAATAATTTCACGTTGGATAAATATTTCTTCAATTTTATTAAATATATATTTAAAGTGAATTATTGCTCATTATAATTTAAAAAATAACATGTTATTGTAACTAAAACATTTGAATAAATATATTTATTTAGATTGAATACATTTTTTTTACTTTATTTCATTGTTATTTACGTGTAAACAAATATTAATTAGAAAGAATTGTTTTAAATATAATTTGAAACTTTTATATATAAAATAATATTTAAAGAAATTTATAATTTCTTTGTAATTTTTGGCCGAAAATGAAATGCACGCATGCTTTTCGTTTTCGATTACTTACAATTGCTATAAATACCTCAAATCATATAGTAACAAGTTGGGACATTTACTCATATTCACTCTTTATGCTTGTTTATGTTTATGTATATGTTCACTGTTTATGCTTGTTTATGTGTATGTACTAATATTAATTATAATAATTATAATAAATAATGATAATATCATTATCATTGTATATATACAGGGTGTCCCGCGTAAGACGTACGAAAAGAAAAATATAAATAGAACACATAAAAGTGAACAAAAATTCTATAGGTCACTTCTCAAACAACTACGTAAAAATTCGAGATATTAATTAAAATAGTTGGGCATATCAGAGCGCGGCGATGCAGCAGGCGAAGAAAATGGAAGAACGCACACGTACACGCACCGGCGTTAATGCTGTCCGAATATCCGTGTGACTCGCACACGATAACGCGTCACTCACACACTGCTGCGTGTAGGTGAGCCTAGAGCAGCACGGAGTGGCGGAGAGAGCTAGCGGTATACGATCGTCGGACGCTTGGAGAGGGAATAGTGGTGGAAGTCGCGGCGATCTTCCATCCTCTATCGCAAACGTAAGAACGAGAGAAATAGCATTATAAGACGTCTGGACAGAAATGCCGTCCTAAAATACGTGTGACACACACTAAGAAAACGCTTGACTCACACTGTCTCGTCTATACGTGAGCAATACGCGGTGTCCCGACGA